CGGTTTTCTTCTTCATCCAGATCCCAAAATTAATTTTATTTATTGGCTTCTTTTTTTCCCTAGTGTCTCTCCATCTGTAGGACAGATGTAGAACTAGCACGGAGTGTCTGCCAAGATAAAGTCACCAAAAGTCACATCAAGCTCTTTTCTTCCCATATCTAACCATCAAAAGGGGATGATTTTCACAGAGAGCAAAAAACAAAGCTAATACTGAATCACTGCTCTCTGCAGGGAGAAGCAAGGGAAGCCAAGACACATCTAAACACATACTCATTTTGGACACCTGATTTCCATTATTTTTCAAGGGTTTCCCAGCCAGCTGGCCCTCCAATGTTCCCCTGCATTTGCTGCCACACACAGCTGTAGACACGGAGTTTGAAGGGAGACGCACGTGGGAAACGGAGTGGAGTCACGCTAGAGGAGCCAGCACAGCGTAGGCAAGCACAGAACGTGGACTTTGCTTTAAGCTTTGAGCTGCTTGCCTAAATAAAGTGTAAATGAGCTATGGATTGACATGGGCAGGCACCATGTGTGGGTGGTGTTACCTACACAGTCAGTTGACCTATAGAAGTGCACACAAACGCACGCACTGTAAATAACAGTGCTATATGCAGCTAAAATGACTTCAGAGGAGAAATTCAGTAGCACTTTCACAAAGTGCTAAGAAGGGCATCGCTCCTGCTGCAAATGCTATGATTTTCTGGCAGCCCAAGTGCTCAGAGTAAGGAGGGAGCAGAAGCTTGACTTCACTGTGTGGATTAATGGCCATGACTTGCCTGTGCTGTTCATGGAAGCTGCTCCAAGAAACTTCATACAAGCTTCCTCTGCACAAGTCCTATGAGGAGAGGCTGAGGGAGCTGGGGTTGTTTAGTCTGGAGAAGAGAAGGCTTAGAGGTGACCTCATCACTCTCTTCAACTACCTGAAGGGAGGTTATAGCCAGGTGGGGGTTGGTCTCTTCTCCCAGGCAACCGACAACAGGACAAGGGGACATGGGCTCAAGCTCTGCCAGGGGAG